TTTCTTCTAAGTTTTTATAGTTTTGGGTTTTACATTTAAGTCTTTTATCCATTTTGAGTTAGTTTTTGTATAAGGTATAAGGAAGGGGTCCAGTTTTAATTTTCTGCATATGGCTAGCCAGTTTTCCCTGCTGTTGTTTATTTTTGCCTATTTCAACTTTCCTTTTGTTCTTGTCTTTTCTTGCCTTTCCTGTCTGCTTTTTTTTTCATTGCTATATTTGACTATAGTTTTCTTGATTACAGCACTCCACTGTAAAAAGACTACTTTGTAAGTATTTTGGAAGAGTGAAAATATAGTTTAATTCAGATCGTAAAGATTACGACTAATAGACTAAAAATTGTCAGGGAGAGGCCATTCAAGGCATTTGAACTGGGAAAGAACCGATGAACAAGTGTTGCTGAATCCTGGTGTAAGAATGGGCTGCAAGATGTTGAAATAGGTGTCCATTTTTAAAGTAAAAACTAACATAGATGATTATGGCAAAAAAAAAAAAAAAACCTCACAGAAAAACGAAAGACATTCACCTTGAATACTAGGAGACTGCCTCAAACTGGATCAGTCATGTACCCATTACATTGTTTCAGATCCCAAAAGTGTGAAAAGCAGCATCAGTAGCAAAATGTAGTAGACATAAAAAAAATGATAGAACATTGGTAATATATAAGTTTTCTGATTTTCTCAGTATTGTTTTCTCTTAGTTCATCAGAGCTATTAAGGTAAGTTGTTACGTAAGCTTTCAGGCAATAGACACATAGTACACTAGGCTTCTACTGCTTTTTGTCAAGGAGGGGTCTATTGTGCTCTTTGAACCTGAGTGTGTTTGGCATCATTTGTTTTTGCTTTATGTGCAATCTTAATATCTTGAAAAGAAAATAAGAGAAGAAAAAAGGAAAATATTTATATAGCCTTTTATATTTACCACCATTTCCAGTGTTCTTTATTTTTTCCTGCAGGTTCTACTGTTTGTTGTCATTTCCTTTCAGCGTAAAAGACTACCTTTAGCATTTCTTCTAAGGAAGATACACTAGCAATAAATTCTTCCAGACTTTGTTTACCAGATATTACTTAATGTAGCTAATATTTTGCCTTCGGTTTTGAAGTAAAATATTTGTACATAGAATTTTCATTTTTAACAGAATTATTGTGATATAATGTGCATACTGTATAATTCACCCATTTAAAGTGTACATTTCAATGACAGTATAGTTGGAGTTGTGTGGCAATTACAATTAATTTTAGAACATTTTTGTATATAGAATTCTGGGTTGAAAGTCATTTTTTATTTCTTTCAGCACTTTGATTATGCTATTCCATTATCTTCTGGCTTCTATTGTTTCTGAAGAGTCAGCCATTAGTAATATCATTTTCTAGTATTTAATGAATGATTTTTCTTTTGCTTGTTTCAAAATAATTCTGTGTTATTTGGCTTTCTGTAATTGACTCTGATGTGCCTAGGTACAGATCTCTTTGTCTTTGAACTTTTGGGGAATTTTTGAGCTTCTTGAATCTGTAATCTTTTTCATGAAGTGGGCGGGGGGTGGTTTGGTCATCACTTCTTCTTTTCTTTCTCTTTTCTTTTGGGATTCTCATGACATATATGTTAGTATGCTTGATGTTCTTCCAGGTATCTCTGAGGCTCTGCCTATTTTTCTTGAATCTTTTTCAAGATTCTGATCTTCAGAATAGGTCTTTTCTATTGATGTATCTTAATGGTCACTGATTCTTTCTTCCGTCATCTGAAATCTGCTGTCAATCCCCTTCAGTAAATTTTTTATTTTGATTACTATACTTTCCAACTCTAGAATTTCCACTTATTTCTTTTTTATAGTTTATTTACTGAGATTCCCGATTTGTCATTTTCATTACATTTTCTTTTAACCATTTACATTTATACTATATGCACATAGTTTCCTTCAATCTTTGAATATATTTATAATGGCTGCTCTGAAGTCTTTATCTAATAAAACCAAAATATAAGCCTACTCAAAGTTTCTGTTTACTGCTTCCCCCCCCCCCAAGTATTGGTCACATTTTCCTATTTCTTTACATGTCTTCTACTTTTGTTAAACACTGGATATTTTATATGATATACTGTCACAACTCTGGATTCTGTTTTATTCTGACTTTTCCAGTTCAGAGTTTTCTTCTCCCACCCCTCACACTTCTCTCTCTTTTTCTGTTTCTTTTCTTCTTTCTTCTTCTCTTTCTTTCTATAATCGATTGGACTTATTTGTAGAAGCTGTCTCCTCTGCAATGTGTCACCATGAATGTCTCTGTTAAAATTTTTTAAATTCTTATATTTTTACTTTTTAGTTTGGCTTTCTAGCACCACCTGCATAACTTAGTGGTCAGCCAGTGACTAGTCAAAGATTATGCTCAAACATTTTGAGTCCATAAAACCTACCTTCTACCACTGGATCTGTGTGTGATTTGAGGATGACATCCAAAGTTTATATAGTTTCCATATCTGCCCAGATTTTATTTTCCTGTCAGTCTTCTTGGGTGTGCACACAGTCCTTAGTTGGAGATGTATGGAGAATTTATGCAGCCCCTCTATGACTCTCTCACTTCCAGGATCTCCCTATTACATTTCTGGTTGGTCTGTAAGCCTGCCACTCATCCCAACCAGGACTGCAACCTTAGACTAGAAAAGCTGCAGGCTTGCTTCATTCATTTCTTATTGAGTTCATTGCTTTTACTGAAAACATTGCCAGACATGGGTGTTTGACTCAGGTCCAAAGCAAGTCCACCTTTTCTGGCAGCAAATCTGCTGGTTTTCTCAGCCAGTTCCCGCTCTAACTACTCTGCCAATCAAGCTGGGGTTAGAAGAAATGGAGGCAACCCCAGGCAAAAAGACCATGGCCTCCCTCTAATTTTACCTGAGATTAGAGCAACTTTTAATGAATAAATAGCTCTTTCTTTGTTGTTTGCCTTTGTTTAATTTCTAGAGCCCTGAAATGCTTCAGGCTTTTCTTTGACAATTTTGTCCAGTTTTGTAGTTGGCTTTGAGCATAGAATATGTTCAAAATATGCTCAAAACCATGAGGCTTTGGACCTCAACCATAGTCCAAAGTCCTATCTACCAATCATGCATTGCTTATTCTATGGTGGCCTCTTTTTCTACCATTTAGTTTGTGTTCTGGGAACTATTTTGACCTATAATGCCTGGCTAATGATGTGCAAGTAGTAAACTTGAAACTGTCTCAAATAAACAAAGAGAATCATGCCAAATTTGAAAATGCAAATTTTACAGTTGTCTAAGCACCTTACTAGTTGTCTAGGACCAATAAATGGTCTAGAAAGGAGGATAAAGCTTAGAAAGCAGCCAGCATGCTACTAATTGGGATTCACAACATATTTATTATGAAAGGCACCATAACATGGCAACTTATGCAGTACTTTGGCACCTCATTCAATCTCTTGGCCTTAAATATTATCTACATGTTAATGACTCCCAAATTTATGTCACAGTCCACACCTCTCTCCTATACTTCAGACTCACATATCTCACAGCCAATTTCAATATCCATGCTTGAGTGTGTAATAGACATTTCACACTCACTATGTCCAAAGCTGAAGTTATCTTGTCACCAAATCTCTCTTCTTTTAGCCCTATCTATCTTTGATGATGGCAACTCCATTCTTTTAGCACTAATGCTAAAAATTGTATAGTCTTCATTGACTTCTCTCTTCTCACACCCCACATCCAATCCACAAAGAAGGTGTGTTGTTCAAAATATTATGAAATTCCAAAGTACAAATAAAATCCAACCACTTTCTTCATCTCCACTGATATATCCCCATAAACCCACTATTATGTCTTACCTGGGCATGATAAATTCACTATCATCTCTCACCTGGATTATCACTGTAATATTCTTCTAACTGGTCTGCTTCTACCTTTGTCCTCCTACATTCTATGATAGCAGCCAGAGTAAAACTGTTAAAGCTTAAGTCATATATCAAAAACTCTGTTGTGCTCAAAACCCTGCAATGGTTTCCCATTTCATGCAGAGCGTAAGCCAAGGTCTTTGCATTAGCCCATAAGGCCCTTCATGAACTTGTCCCATGATATCTTTGACCTCCTCTTACTCTATTTATTCTAGCAGTATGTCCACACCAGCCATATTGGCCTCCTGCCATTCATCAAACATGTCAGGTTTGCCATTTCCTTAGGACTCTTGCCATGTCTTTTCCTTCTGCTTCAAGTGCTTTTCCCACAGATACTTGCAGTTTTAATTCTTCATCCCCTTCAAGTCTGAGTAATAATCACCTTCTCAATGAGGCTTATTCTAACCAACACTAACATCCCTTCTAAGTATTCACTATTTTGTACTTAACATCTTATTTATATCATATAATGTATTTATTTATTATGTTTATTGTTTACGATCTCTCTCCTCTAGAATGAAAGGCTCATGAGGACAGGGATTTTTGTCTGTTCACGAATATATTTCAAGCACCAAGAACAATGCCTGACACATACCAGTAAATGAATATTTGTTGAGTGAATAAATGTTTTCTTTAGCTTTTAAGACTAGACCAATAGCTGGTCTTAAAACTAGCTAATAACTAAGTAGTAACCCCACCAGCTGAAGTATAATATAACCGGTATAACACTAAAAACTACTTTCAAAAACTGTACCTCATCATGGGTACTAACATGAGTACATAACATGTTACTCAAAGTTTCCAACAATAAATTTAGTGGTGAAAACAGTACAGTATGCTAGGGGACATGATAATGTAATGGTCTTTTAAGTGGCTGTAAGCTGAGGTGATTAATGGTCCTTCACCTTAATGTAGAAGAAAACATGGCAAAGACTCATAATGTCTCTTTCGTGGTTTACTGCTGGACCCAATTTCTCAGCCGCTCGTATCTTAGATGGGGACATGAGAGTAGTTTGGACAATGTAGGTTGAAAAGATGTGATCCACTTTCCTGGCTAATCTCTTACATTTCTCTTGTGATTTTGTTTTCTTCCCTTGTCCCTTGGTTAGATGGAGAGGATACAGTGGAGGATTCAGAGGTTGTAGAAGATGGTGGAGTCTCTGGATGGAAGGAAGCTGGGTCTCTGAATCACAAAGTGAAAGACCACTCACCAAACGCCTTATTGGACAATGACATGAATGAGAACTAAAACCTTTATAATTGTAACTCACTAATAGTTGGGGTTGATTGTTATGATAGCTAGTCTACCTAGACCAATAGAGCCAATTCCTAATAATATCATCTTGGAAGGGTAGGATGAAGCCTGATTATGCAAAGCGATGAAAATGACATATATTGAGTATCAAGGAAAATTGAAATCTTTGACAAAGTGGAATTGCCATCTCTGAAAACAGTTCTTTTAACTAAAATACGCCAATGTATTAGCAATTCTTCTTTGAACTAAATAGATTGGCACTTTTTGGACCTGAGATGTGAAACTCTGCCCTAAGTTAGGATTCATCTTTCAATTCAAATAGCAGTGTCAATAGGAAAGCAAGTTGGCTGTTTGTGCTTAGCACCACCTGGCTGCAGTTACATCACTCAGCACTAAACATGCTGGCTGTGTCAGATTTGAGTACTGTCATTCTGATGAAGTGGGGAGTGTGTTGCCCTGGTAGGAAGCCTTTTAAATTGAATGACAAGGTTTTTCTTATTTGTTACATCCCCAGGCCATTGTCAAATCATATAATGCCAGCCCAGGAAAGTAATTACAGAACTGTTGTGAGGCTGTTAGCAGCTGCTTTTCATTTTTCCCCATTGTGACTGGGATGTGGTGGAGAAAAACTGGGATGACTAAGAACCACAACATAAATGCCACCCAATCTGCTGGCCAGTCACATATGGCACTTACTTTCAACCAAAGGGAAAAGAGGAGGTCGTTAGATGTAAGACTGAAATGTCGTTAGATGTAAGAGCTGAATATAATGCAGAATCTACAGCAAATTATCACAGAACAAGGTGTGAGGATAGGTGGATTCCATTTATTAAAGCGTTATGGAAATCATTAGGCCACAAAGTCTAATTTCTAAAAACAAAATTCTGTGTTGATCCCATTAAGAAATCCCTCTTCCTCCTAGTTGCTACTTTTCTTTTAGCATTTTCCTTATTTTTGTGTAAGAATTACAGTGACCTTTGGTTAATAACATGTTACTCAAAGTTTCCAACAATAAATTTAGATTCTCATAAAAAAGCAACTGCTAAGATATATGAAGGGGAAATCAACATTATTTAATGTGTTTTAATCTTACCATATTACCTTAATTTGATTCTTTGTAATAAGAACCTTATAAGTTATCCAGTACTTATTTTCAAAGTTAATTTATTTCCTAAACTCCAGTTTGTGAAGAATGGCAGACATTTGATAAGCTGATTTAAAGTAAAAACAGGTATGTATTGTTTTAAAGTTATAACTGCTTAAAGTTTAATGGAAACTTCTTAAAATCCCTAATACTACTAAATGCTGTATTTCTAATCAGGTGACAATATAATCATGATGAACCTTAAGTGATTACTCACTGTTTATTTTCTTTGAATGAAATTGTTTAACTGGAAGCTAGTAAGTTATTATGTGCACATACAATTCATTCTTGTTCTGAAAGTCATTGCTTTCCTTTCCTTGGCTACTGAGATACAATAAATACATTTGTATGTCTTTTAAAAATTGCAGCAGGCAGTTGCTTCCCTATACACTAGGCAATATCCCTTCCACTCAGAATTGGAACTCTTTTGAAAAAATAATTTATTTGCAAATGATGAAAGTGTTCAGAGGCTTGAGATCCAACAACATCCCAAATGAAAATAATTAGAATTTGTGGTAAAGATAAGAGTGAGATTTGAAACCTGTCGGTACATATCACCAAGAAGAAATAAATTATGGCTTGTCAAAAATGACAGATTTCAGCAAGGTGCTTCCTTTTCACTTTGAGTAAGACCTTTTTCCACCTAGCAATTAACTTTATTCCCATTAATATTCAGTAGCATTGACAAGGCTGACAGAGTAAAACTGGGTTTTATAAAACTAAAGACAGATTGATGGAGACTCATTACTTTGTCTAATAATTTCATCATTATATGTTGTATCTTAATAAATAAAGAACAAAGCTGTTGACTGTAGTATTGATTTGTTGTGCCAGGTAAAGGACTCAGATTTTCTGTGTATATTTTCTTTTTGTGATTCATAAACGTATTTTTGAAAATAAACAGTAATTTTGCCTAAAGGGTTGCAGAGGTGACAAAATAATACATTTACACCATACCATAATACCCTTAGTACTGGCATTGGTTCCTTTAGATATTTCTTCACAAGCTGTAAATAATAATTATTCCACACAGTTACATAAAATGAGCAACTGCACTTAAATGACCCTTTGATTATAGATTTTGAGAAAGCCTAAGAACAAGTATTTTCTTGTGGTTTGGTGGAAAAAGAGCAAAGGATTAACTAACAACCCAAAGAAACCTAAAAACCAAACATTTTGGTCTTTCTTTTTTTTATGATATAAAAAGTTAGATAACAGAGCAGGTTTCACAAAACTTTAAGACGTGTCAAAGATGATGTTGCTTGGAGACATAATATCTGCTCTGTTTTTTTGTATTTGTCATATTTCCCACACTTGATCTCAGCCAAAAGGCAGAGAAGCAATTATTTGTTATATTTCCTTAAAAAATTAAAAATGAAACATTGTACTTTTCAAGGCTTATGGAAACAGTTGTTGGGCTTTTTTATTTTTATACAGGACACTTTGGCTGAATTCAGCTTTGCTTTCTCTTCTAGAACTGTGAGAAAAGAATTCTCATTGTTGATGAGAAAGATGTGATATTTGTCTAACAAAATCAACTTGATTTTTTTTTGTTGAAGTTTCTAAGTTGTTCTTTCCCTCTGCCATGAAAAGTGACTTCTCAAAGGTGAAAGTCTGCCATTTTTTCTTAAAGAGTTCTCTTTCCATTAACATTATGTAGCTCAGCACTGTTTTTTGCCAACAGCAATAACAGTGACTTTTGGATGTATTATTTACTTTAAATTTTGCCACTTGCATTTATTTTCTGTGCTATGACAACATACTGTTCTGTGGTAGAAATGACACAATTTTAGTCTTCATCAAATTCATAGTTTCTGCAAAAGTCTTATTTTTCATAAGCAAAAATTCATGTAGTGAAAATGGAGTCATTTCATGCAGTTCCCACTTTGGCCCTGAGCACATGCACTGAGCAGCTCTCCTCTTTACTCCTTTATTTTTGTCAGTATTAAAGTCTGCAGATGGGTATGTCACACCTGAACACCCTGAGTATGGAGTGTGTAATTATAATAAAAGCTTTGGAGTAGATTTCCCTAGCCCTTGAGTGTCTTCTTTTAAGTACCTCTCTGATGTTCCACATCACCTTCGATTATTAGATCCTGTTAGCTCTGATCTCCTTCTTTTACACCAATCTGCTTTTCTGATTTGAGCTTTATTTGACTCCACTGCTCTCTCTCAAACTTCCCTTCCAATGATCGATGCTAGTGCTTTCCTTCAGTTACTGTCTTGTTTTCTTCTTGATTATTCTATTTTCAAATCCATTTACGAACTTACCCTTACTCTTCATGAATAAAGACTTCTTAGAGAGAAGAGCAGTTATTTGAAGAACTGCAGTCATTAGTCAAATGTTTAGTGAGAACTTACTATACGTAAGACATTGTAAGAAAACTCAGATACCTGATGTATCATCACTACGATTGATAACTAACACTTATATAATAATAACAATGAATCAGACATTGATCTGTGTGCTTTACAAATATTAATGCACTTGGTCCTCCCAATATGCCCTATGTTTCATTATGCAGGTTTTATCATTATAGGTAAGAAAGGCCATATGATCAGAAGATTGCTGCCATTGAAAAGACAGTTTGTTACTCACAGTTCTCAAGAGAGAATATGCCATGCCATGCCATGGAGGGCCATACAGGAAAGCACCAGGGTTAGTCAAGAGGCAAACAGAGTGGGAGAAAAATGTGGGCAAGAGACTTTATTGTGGTTCCATTGGGAAGAAATAAGTGAGGCAGGGTAAGCAGGCTTAGTATTGGCTAGTTCAAATGCTTTCAACAGGCTCTTGGGTGCAGTAGCTGTCTGGAGTTGCCTGATACCTGGTCCTGGTGTGATTGGGGCAGGGGAATATGGGCCCAGAGTGAAGAACTTGATAGAGGAGGTGGGAAAAAGTGTGGGCTTTGGACTGGTTAGTTTGCACATGACGGTTGTGCTCAGAGGCAAGGAAATTGGCTAGCTCTAGAAGAAGAAGTCTCCCCAGGGTCAGTAAGATCCCAGTTATCCAAATATCAGAAAAATAAGGCATGCTTAATATATCTTAGAGACAGACAGCTAGTAGGGGTTTGAATCCAGGTTCAGAGGTAATAGGTCTGGCTCCAGAGTTCACATTCTTAGTTCTATGTCATGTTGATTCACTAAGCAACATGGATTTTTATAGGGGAAGTAAAAAATATGCAACATATACGTGATATTATTGTGCTGTAAGAAAGGTAAAAGGGGGCTTCAGAATTAAGAGGTGGGAGACATCAATTAGATTGAAACTCAGGCAAAAATTCAGGAAAGAAGCCATAATTGAGTGTGCATTTAAAGGATGACAGAGATTCCCACAAAAAGGCAGAAATCATTCCAGGCAAAGGGAATTGCTTAAACAAAGTTGTAAAGACTTGAAATCAGTGAATGTGATTAAGCTGCTGCATACCACCCATATAGCATAATGGCATATGCAAAGCTCGAAGGAAATGATATTGAGAAAGTTATTTAAAATCAGATTTAAGAAAGTCATGAATAAAAAGCTAAGGAATTTGAGCTTATGTATATTATAGATCTTTGAGCAGTGCACTTCAGGGGTTAACCTTGATTTAGTGGAAGAAGAATTGGAAAGAGAAGAAGCAGAAGGTGAAAGCATCATTAGTACGTTATGGAACTAACTCAAGTTATTGAAATAGCTCAAATGAAACTTAAGAATAATATCAAGGAGTATTAAGAGCTTGATTCCAAAACCATTGTAGAGATAGAATTAGAAGTATTCTATGTTGAAGCTCTGTCATATAAAGTAATGACTAAAGGAATTGGTAACTTTACTATGCAGAAGAGAAAATAAAGGGATAGACTCTCTTGGGTGCTGAGCTAGGCCAAACCTCAGAGGCTGCTCTGGGCTCCAAGGTGGGAGAGAATAAAAACATGGGCGGAGCTCATGAATGCTGGTACTCCATCAGTTCAGTTCAGAAGCTGATAAGTAGTGAAAAGAAGCCTCAGCTCTACTATAGTTCAGCATGGCACTGTTATTGGAATAAAAAAAGAGTAATTTATAATAAAATAATATGTATTTCAATATGTAAATGCTCAGACAAAGCTATCCCAGGAGAACTGATGATACAGACGGAGCTTTCACCTATTTCATCTGGATTTAAGAGAGTTAAGTTCAGAATCTCTTCAATACAAGAAATTCAGGAAGATGAAAGAGTAGATATCTAGGTCGTCACTAAATAAAAATAAGTCCTAACAGACTAGAATTATTTGTCTATAAGAAAAAAAAATCTTAATTGAAATAAGGATAACATGCCAAGACAAATTACAGACTTTGGAAACAGAGAAAAAGAAGTATGATATTAGCGCAAACGAGTTGGGCCTTATTTATAAGTGCAGTGTCAAAATTATTCCCAATATTATGATGGGATAGTGACAAAGTATCTCTGAAAACATATCTCCTGCCTTAAAATTCCTCCACATGTTGAGGCTCACAATCAGTCTCTGGCACTTAGAAAGACCCAGGAGACTCTATCCTTTGATAATCTATAGGGGAGGTAGGTTGTATTATAAAAAGAAGTAGTAATACAAGAAACCACAGGAACATTGTGACAGAGACAGAATCTGTGCCAACACTGGGAAAAAAGGCAACCCTCAAAATAAATAATTTCCTTATATTACTTATATAATCTAGATTTCTCATCATCGTCATTCATAAAAACTTTAAAATATATGTAATGGCAAGAATATAAAATAGAAAAATAAATCTTTATTAATAAAATTCAATTAAATCCCAGCATCTTGTATATTTCCACTAATTTTATAATATTACTTCTAAGCCATAAGAGTCTTAGGTTCCCTTTATTATCTGTCTGTATGTGGCAGCAATATGTGCCAACTAGCACTGGTATGTTATATTGGTGACTCAATTATAATGAGGGGCATTGTTTCGCTGAGGTGATTTTCTGAAATGGTGAACAAGTCTCAGAAAACATAGTGCAAAGTTCCTTTGATTTAAACAGTATTGCATTCCTGACATTTTTAATTTATAACTATGAAGAAATACATTTTGTTGTGATTGGTAAAATTATTTTCTAGACTCTCAAATAATTGTAACTTTTTTCCCCCTACATGAATGTTGATGGAATATTTGAAAATCATGCAGCATAATTATCTATTGGGTAAAACTGTCACATGCATCACAGGACACCTAGCATCTCTGTCCAGCTCCACTTCCTAAATAACAGCATCATCCTGCAATTTGTATGAAAAATAAAAATGATCACATATTTTAAAAATTATTTGTGTAAAAAAACTACTGCTTTAAGTAATGGTGCTCAATACAAGGGAGATCCCTGCTATATGACATGATCAGGATTATGCTAAAATCTTTTAGTAGAGAAATGATAGAAAGATTTCCAGTATTGGGTGACTAGTTGGACTAGTTCAAAGTTGAAAAATCAAATGCCTACAGGCATAAAGCAGGTATAACAAATGTGTGAACTGGGCCAAGAGGAAGACAATAGAGAGTTGTGTGGTCTGTGACCAGTTGTCCGAGTACCACTTGTTGAAAGATTATTTTTTCCTCATTGAATTGCTTTAGCACCTTGTCAAAAATCAATTGACAGTAAATGTGAGGGATTATTTCTGAACTCTCAGTTCTATTCCATTTACCTATGTCATCTTTACACCAGTACTACACTGTCTCAATTACTGCAGCTATGTACTAAGTTTTGAAATCAATTAATGTGAACCTTACACCTTTTTTCCTTTATTAAGATTATTTTGGTTATTCTGGGTAACTCGAATTTCTACATAAATTTCAGGATCAGCTTGTTCATTTCTACAAAGAAGCCAGCTGAATTTTGATAGGGATTGCATTGAGTTTGTAGATTAATTTCAGGGGCATTGCTATCTTAACAATATTGTCTTCTGATCCATGAACATAGGATGCCTTTCTATTTGTTTAGGTCTTCTTAAATTTCTCTCAACATTGTTTTATAGTTTTCAAGTTGTATGTCTTATAATTATTTTGTTAAATTTATTCATAGTATTTTATTTTTTTCCATCTGGTTGCCTTTTATTTCATGTTCTTGCCAGTTGCCCTGGCTGGGTCCACTTAGCTTTTAAAACTTGTATGTCTTACAACCCATTTCTCTTACTCATTATTTATTACACTGGTTCAATGAAACAAATCACCTCGCTTTCTCTTTCGGCAACTCTCCATCTCCTAAAATCTTTTGGATCTTTTGTAACTTATTCTTGAACAAAAACATCCCTAATTAACACTATACCACTATTCCAGAGCTTATTTCTATAATCTCCACCACTCTGACACATCCATAATTATAGTGTAAATTGCCATTTATCCTGTTACTGTTTATTATCTGGGACAGATATTCTCATAATGTCTCCTATTAAATTTTAAGCTCTTTTGAGTAGGGTCAAAGTTGAAAAATGAAATGCTTACAGGCAAATGTAGTATGTTTTCTACTTTGTTTTCTATTTCAAGCTCTTAAAAAAAATCCTAACAGAGTCACAAAAGTCTGGCTCAAAGGTGTGTTCCATTTGCTTTGCTTTTTTAACTGAAAAGCAGGTCAATGAGATGAGAAGAGCACTACCTTGTCTTGAGTCCTGGCTTTGCCACTTAAATGCTACATAATATTGAGTAATTAATTTACATCCGAGTCTCAGTTTTTCCATCTGTAAAGTAAGAATAACAATGTCTAACTTGATCATTATAATAAAGATTAAAAATTGGCAAGTAAAACATATAGCCTATGGCAGGCTTTGATAAATGACATTGTGATGGTTAATACTGAGTGTGAACTTGATTGGATTGAAGGATGCAAAGTATTGTTCCTGGGTGTGTCTGTGAGGGTGTTGCCAAAGGAGATTAACATTTGAGTCAATGGACTGGAAGAGGCAGACCCACCCTCAATCTGGATGGGCACAATCTAATTGTCAAAGATGTTTGAACCAGAGCAACTCCATCTTGAATAAGACCTGGGTAAAATAAGGCTGAGATCTATTGGGCTGCATTCCCAGATGCTTAAGACATTCTAAGTCACAGGATGAGATAAGAGGTCAGCACAAAACACAGGTCATAAAGACCTTGCTGGTAAAACAGCTTGCAATAAAGAAGCCGGCCAAAACTCACCAAAACCAAAATGGTCACGAGAGTGATCTCTGGTGGTCCTCACTGCTACACTACCACCAGTGCCATGACAGTTTACAAATGCCATGGCAGCATCAGGGAGTTACCCTATGTGGTCTAAAAAGGGGAAGCATGAATGATCCACCCCTTGTTTAGCATATCTACAAGAAATAACCATAAAAACAGGCAACCAGCAGCCCTCAAAACTGCTCCGTCTATGGAGTAGCCATTCTTTTATTCCTTACTTTCCTAAAAAACTTGTTTTCACTTTACCCTATGGACTCACCCTGTATTCTTTCTTGCATGAGATCCAAGAACCCTCTCTTGGGGTCTGAATTGGAACCCCTTTCCTGTAACATCTTTCTGGCAACCACGGAAGGGACGATATTAAGGAAACCCTCTACCCTAGGCTAACTTTGAGTAAGTGGTGAGGTCTGGTAACATCTTTCTGGTGAACCCTGAAGGGAAGATACTGAGGCGATCCCCCAACCCAAAGAAAATATACTGCAGCACTGATTGCACAACTTTGGGTACGTGGGGTACATATACCTGGGTAAAGGATGGGATTGGATTAGAGGCTCAACTTAGGGGAGTTAGAGTATCTCCAGACAGTGTGGGTTAGAGGCCCTTCTTAATAAAAGGCAAGAATGCTTGATCAACCTTGGGTTAGAGGCCCAATTTAGGAGGGTTAGAGACCCTTCTAAGATTTAGGGGGTTAGAAGCCCCTCTCAGTAAAGTCCTTCTCGGCAAAGTCCCTTTTGGCTAAGAACGGGTTTGGTGCTATAGGATATTAATTGCTATTCTCTTTGTTGTTGTTGTTGTTCGCTTCTTTTCCATACATTATTGCGGTTCAGGTGGTGTTTGGTTATGTAAGTTCTTCAATGGTGATTTGAGATTTTGGTGCACCCATCACCCAAGCAGTATACACTGTACCCTCTTTGTAGTCTTTTATCCCTTGCCCCCTTCCCACCCTTTTCTCCAAGTCCCCAAAGTCCATTGTCTCATTTTTATGCCTTTGCATACTCATAGCTTAGCTCCAACATATCAGTAAGAACATAAGGATGCTTGGTTTTCCATTCCTGAGTTACTTCACTTAGAATAATAGTCTCCAATATCATCCAGGTCACTGTGAATGCCGTTAATTCATTCCTTTTATGGCTGAGTAGTATTCCATCATATATGTACACCACAGTTTCTTTATCCACTCATTGATTGATGGGCATTTGAGTTGGATCCATGGTCTTGCAATTGTGAATTGTGCTGCTATAAACATGCTTATGCAAGTATCATTTTGGTATAATGACTTCTTTTCCTCTGGGTAGATACCTAGCAGCGGGATTGCTGTGGGTTGTCTGTTTACTGTCCTGACTGTTCCTCTACCAAAACCAAAAAAGGACATAACCAAAAAAGAAAACTACAAACCAATATCCCTGATGAACATAGATGCCAAAATTTTTAACCAAATACTAGCTAACTGAATTCAACAACATATCAAAAAGATAATTCACCATGATCAAGTAGGTTTCATGCCAGGGATGCAAGGATGGTTTACCATATGCAAGTCAATAAATGTGCTACACCACATAAACATAATTAAAAACAAAAATCACATGATTATCTCAATAGATGCAGAAAAAGCATTAGACAAAATCCAGCATTCCTTTATGATTAAAACTGACAGCAAAATCAGCATACAAGGGACATACCTCAATGTAATAAAGCCACCTATGACAAACCCACTGAATGGGGAAAAATTGAAAGCATTTCCTCTGAGAACTGGAACAAGACAAGGATGCCCACTCTCACCACTCCTCTTCAACATAGTACTGGAAGTCTTAGCCAGAGCAATCAGACAAGAGAAAGAAATAAAAGGCATCTAAATCAGTAAAGAGGAAGTCAAACTCACTGTCTGCTGATGACATGATCGTTTACCTCAAAAACCCTCAAGACTCCTCCAGAAAGCTCCTAGAACTGATAAAAGAATTCAGCAAAGTTTCTGGATACAAGATTAATGTACAAAAACCAGTAGCTGTTGTATATGCCAACAGCGACCAAGTGGAGAATCAAATCAAGACCTCAACCCCTTTTACAATAGCTGCAAAAATAAAATAAAATAATAAAATACTTAGGAATATAGCTAATCAAGGAGGTGAAAGACCTCTATAAGGAAAACTACAAAACAATGCTGAAAGAAATCATAGGCAACACAACCAAATGGAAACACATCTTATGCTCATGGATGGGTAGAATCAATATTGTGAAAATGACCATACTGCCAAAAGCAATCTACAAATTCAACACAGTTCCCATCAAAATACCACTATCATTCTTTATAGAATTGGAAAAACAATTCTAAACTTCATATGGAACACCCCCACCCCAAAACAAAAGCCCTCATAGCCAAAGCAAGACTGAGCAAAAAGAACAAATTTGGAGGCATCACACTACCTGATTTCAAACTACACTATAAGGCCATAGTCACCAAAACAGCATGGTACTGGTATATAAATAGGCACATAGACCAATGGAACAAAATAGAGAACCCAGAAATAAACCCAAATACTTACAGTCAACTGATCTTCAACAAAGCAAACACAAACATAAGTGAGGAAAGGACACCCTTTTCAACAAATAGTGCTGGGATAATTGGCTAGCTACATGCAGGAGAATGAAACTGGATCCTCATCTCTCATCTTATATAAAAATCAACTTAAGATAGATTAAGGACTTAAATCTAAGATCTGAAACTATAAAAATTTTAGAAGATAACATTGGAAAAACCCTTCTAGACATTGGCTTAGGCCAAGATTTCATGACCAAGATCCCAAAAGCATATGCAATAAAAACAAAGATAAATAGCTGGGACTTAGTTAAATCATTATTCTCTTTGAACTAATCTGCCTTGCACTCTTTGCTGACAGCTGTAGGTGACAGAATTGGCATGAACAGGATTACAGGACATAGGAAGCTTTTTCCTCACCAAAAAGGGGAAACCTGAATGCTGATGGGACTGCTGGAAAAGATCCCTTCACTATCGACAAGTAGCCACCTGCACTTTTTAGTGTCCCTGCAATGGGTGAGTCTTCCTCTGGCCTCTGTGAGCACCTCACCTTCCCCACCCTGCCTCAGGCAATGTTTTCCTCTCCCTGTCTGTGTGCAAATTGGTTGAATGGTAAAAATCACTGTTTATCCCCTCTGCAAAGTTTTAATTAATTGGAAAAAGGATTTGTAAAACTAGTCTTAAGCTACAGCAAATCTGTTGTACTTTGTGCTATTGTATTAGTCTGTTTTCACACTGCTGATAAAGACATACTTGAGACTGGGAAGAAAAATCTGTTTAGTTGGACTTACAGTTCCACATGGCTGGGGAAGCCTCAGAATCATGGCAGGAGGCGAAAGGTATTTCTTACATCATGTCAGCAAGAGAAAATGAGGAAGAAGCAAAAGCAGAAACCCGTGATAAACCCATCAGATCTCGAGACTTATTCACTATCATAAGAATAGCATGAGAAAGACCAGCCCCCATGATTAAATTATCTCCCCCTGGATCCCTCCCACAACACGTGGGAATTCTGGGAGATACAATTCAAGTTCATATTTGAATGGGGATACAGCCAAACCATACTATTCCACCCCTGCCCCCTCCAATCTTATGTCCTCACATTTCAAAACCAATCATGCTTTCCCAACAGGCCCCCAAAGTCTTAACTCATTTCAGCAGTAACCCAAAAGTCCCTTCTACCTATGAGCCTGTAAAATAAAAAACAAGCTACTTACTTCCTAGACCCCATGGGGGTACAGGTATTGGGTAAATACAGCCATTTCAAATGGGAGAAATTGGCCAAAATAAGGGAGTTACAGGGACCTTGCAAGTCTGAAATCCAGCAGGACAGCCAGATTTTAAAGCTCCAAAATGATCTCCTTTGACCCCAGGTCTTATATCCAGGTCAAGCTGATGCAAGAGGTGGGTTCCCATGGTGTTGGGCAGCTTTGACCATGTGACTTTACAGGGTACGGCCTCCCTCTTGGCTGCTTTCACAGACTGGCATTGAGTGTCTGTGGCTTTTCCAGGTGCACAGTGCAAGTTGTTGGCGTATCTACATTTCTGGGGTCTGGAGGATGGTGGCCCTCTTCTCACAGCTCCTCTAGGCAGTGCCCTAGTAGGAACTCTGTGTGGGGGCTCCAACCCTACATTTCCCTTCCGCACTCCCCTCTCCATGAGGGCCCTGCCCCTGCAGCAAACTTTTGCCTGGGCAACCAGGCATTTCCATACATCTGAAATCTTCTGAAATCTGAGGTTTCCAAACCTCAATTCTTGACTTTTGTTCACCCACAGGCTCAACGACATGTGGAAACTGCCAAGGCTTGGGGCTTCCACCTGGAGTGGCTGGGACATAGGGCACCAAGTCCCTAGGCTGCACACAGCACAAGGACCCTGGGGCCAGCCCACAAAACAACTTTTTCCTCCTGGGTCTTTGGCCTGCGATGGGAGAGGCTGCCGGGAAAGTCTCATAATACCTAGTGGGCCTCTTTGGATTTTGGAGGCAACACATTCCTCATTTGGGTGTGTTACTCCGGCCCATTTATTGAGTGACTGGGAAGTCTTGAGTGGGGTCCAGAACAAGAGAAGGCTCTGCAACAGGTCCAGGCTGCTGGCCAAGCTGCTCTGCCCCTTGGGTCATATGACCCAGCAGATCCAATGGAGCTTGAAGTGTCAGAGGTAGATAGGGATGCTGTTTGGAGCCTTGGTAGGCCTTCATAGGTGAATCACAGTGGAGGCCTCTAGGATTTTGGAGCAAGGCCCCACCATCTTCTGTAGATAACTACTCTCCTATTAAGTGATGGCTCTTGGCCTGTTACTGGGCTTTGGTAGTAATTGAACGTTTGACTACGGGTCACCAAGTCACCACACGACCTAAACTGCCTATCATGAACTGCGTGCCTTCTGACCTATCTAGCCATGAAGTGGGGCATGCACAGCAGCATTCCAGCATCAAATGGAAGTGGTATATATGTGATCAGGCTCAAGTAGGTCCTGAAGGCACAATTAAGTTACATGAGGAAGTGGCTCAAACACCCATGTTCCCCACTCCTGCTCCCCTGCCTTCTTTCCCCCAGCCTGCACCAATGGCCTCATGGGGAGTTCCCTATGATCAGTTGACAGAGGAAGAGAATACTAGGGCCTGGTTCACAGATAGTTCTGAACAATATGCAGGCAACACCTGAAAGTGGACAGCTGCGGCACTACAGCCCCTTTGTAGGACATCCCTGAAGGTCACTGGTGAAGAGAAATCTTCCCAGTGGGCAGAACTCATACAGTGCACCTGGTTGTATACTTTGCTTGGAAGGAGAAATAGCCAGATGTGTGATTATATAGTGATTCATGGGCTGTATTCACTGGTTTGGCTGGAAGGTCAGGGACTTGGAAGAAGCATGATTGGAAAATTGGTGGCAAAGAAATTTGGGGAAGAGGTATGTAGATGAACCTCTTTGTGTGGTCAAAAACTGAAGATATTTGTATTTCATGTGAGTGCTCATGAACAAGTGACCTCAGCAGAGGAGAATTTTAATAATTGAGTGGATAGGGTATCTTGTTCCGTGGACAGCACTCAGCCTCTTTCCCCAGATACCCCTGTCATCACCTAATGGGCCCATGAACAAAGTGGCCATGGTAGTAGGAATGGGAGGTTACGCATGGGCTCAGCAACACGGACTTTCACTCACTAAGGCTGACCTGGCTATGGCCATGGCTGAGTGCCCAATTTGCCAGCAGCACCAGAGACCAACAACTGAGTCCTTAACATGGCACAATTCCTTGGGGTGTTCAGCCAGCCACTTGGTGGAAGGTTGATTATACTGGACCTCTTGCATCTTGGAAAGGGCGGCTGTTTGTCCTCACCAGAATAAACACTTATTCCAGATATGGGTTTGCATATCTTGCATGCAATGCTTCTGCCTAGACTGCCATCTGTGAACTCATAGAATGCCTTATCCACTGTCATGGTATTCCACACAGCATCGCCTCTGACCAAGGTACTCACTTTATGGCTAAATAAATGCAGCAGTGGGCTCATGCTCATGGAATTCACTGGTCTTATCTCTTCCCCATCAACCTGAAGCAGCTGGATTGATAGAATGGTGGAATGGCCTTTTGAAGTCACAATTACAATGCCAACTAGGTGACAATACTTTGCAGGGCTGGGACAAAGTTCTCCAGAAGGCTGTGTGTGCTCTGAATCAATGTCCAATGTATGGTACTGTTTCTTGAATAGGATTCACAGGTCCAGGAATCAAGGGGTCGAAGTGGAAGTGGCACCACTCACCATCTCCTGTAGTGACCCACAGGCAAATTTTTTGCTTCCTGTTCCTGTGACATTAGGTTCTGTTGGCCTAGAGGTCTTAGCTCCAGAGAGAAGAATGCTACCATCAGGAGACACAACAATAATTCCATTAAACTGGAAGTAAGATTGCCACCTGGACACTGGCCTCCTCCTACCTCTATATCAACAGGCTAAGATGGGAGCTACAGTATTGGCTGGAGTGATTGACCCAGAATATCAAAATGACATCAGTCTACTTCTCCATAATGGAGGTAAGAAAGAGTATGCACGGAATTCAGGAGATCCTTTAGGGCACCTCTTAGTATTACCATGCCCTGTGATTAAGGTCAATGGGAAATTACAACAGCCTAATCCAGGCAGGACTACAAGTGGCCCAGACCCTTCAGGAAAGAAGGTTTGGGTCACTCCACCAGGTAAAAAATCGTGACCTGCTGAGGTGCTTGGTGAAGGCAAAGGGAATACAGAATGGGTGGTAGAAGAAGGTAGTCATCAATACCAGCTACAACCACGTGAACAGTTGCAGAAACGAGGACTGTAATTGTCATGAATATTTCCTACTTATTTTGTTAAGAATATGTTTGTGCAGGTATACACTTGTACTAGGAAAATAGCTTCATTTTATTTCCTTTTTCCTTTATCATGTGACATAAGATTTATTGACTTCATATCAGCATTTAAGTGTTGTTAACTTTATGAAATAGCATTTAGGTTAAGGATTAGTGTGCTTCTAGTTGTACAAAGGATAGCCGTATTATATTAGGCATAATTATGACCTTATTATTGTCTTCACTTGAAGATTATATATGATTTCAGGAGCTGTATATGGGTTCAAATTGACAAGGGGTGGACTTGTGATGGTTAATATTGTCAACTTGATTGGATTGAAGGATGCAAAGTATTGTTCCTGGGCATATCTGTGAGGGTTTTGCCAAAGGAGATTAACAGTTGAGTCAGTGGACTGGGAGAAACAGACTAACCCTCAATCGGGTGGGCACCATCTAATCAGCTGCCAGCACAGCTAGAATAAAGCAGGCAGAAGTTGGAAGGACTTTACTTGCTAAGTCTTCAGACCTTCATTTTTCTCCCATGCCAGATGCTTCCTGCCCTTGAACATCAGATTTCAAGTTCTTCAGCTTTTGGACTCTTTGGACTTACACCAGTGGTTTTCCAGGGTCCCTTGGGCCTTTGGCCACAGAATGAAGGCTGTACTGTCAGCTTCTCTACTTTTGAGGTTTTGGGACAAGGACTGATCCACCACTGGCTTCCTTGCTCTTCAACTTGCAGACAGCTTATCGTGGGACTTTACCTTGTGATCGTATGAGTCAATTCTCCTAATAAACTCCCCTTTTTATATACACATATCCTATTAGTTCTGTCCCTTTAGAGAATCCTGACTAATGCAGGCATTAACATTTACTCTTTATAAAAGCAATGTGACAATTAATAAAAACCTAAGCTTAGAGTTTTTCTTTTAGAAATAAACAAAGAAAATAGGAAAATTGAAATTTTACATAGTTATAAAAGTTATCTAGGATTCTGATTATTTTATTTCCATGTCATATCTAAGGCTTCTCCATCAGTGCCATGTTCTCCTTGGAACCCTTCATCATTTATTTCAGGAGGAATATAGAGCATGAAGCAGAAAGTATGACACCTCCCCCCATCTTCTTGCTTATTTTGTACGACTTCTGGCATCTTACATTGCAAAACAGACAGAAAAACAACATCAAGAGAAAATGTATTGAAAGTAAATATTTAATGTCAAATACAACAAAGTTTAAAGGGCTCTACTCCAATCATTGATTCATTTGAAATGAAGTGGGAAACTTTGGAAGCTATATTTATTGTTACTAGTTTTTTATTCTGTACTAATTAGCCAGAGAAAAATAATGCAAAATGTTGTATGTTGCTTGATTTTTTCTCTTTCACAAATAACTGAAATAATTCTTTGTAAACGTTTTTTAAAATATTTTTTAAATTTTTTTAAATTTTAAAAATAAAAATAAAAAATATTTTTAAAACAACAATTAATATTAATAAAAGTCTAATTAGAGAAAATATTAAGTAAAAAGCAGTATTTCCTCTTCTTGAGCTTTATTAAAGCAGAGATTCCTTAACTATAACCATCTTTGTCAAGGAAATATTTATTTTAAATAAATATATTACATCCTAAATAGAGCAAGGCAACAGATGTATCCGAGTGAATTAAAAAGTGGCACATTCTTGGGCTTCCCCCTGGCAGTTATATTTTTGGCTTTGCCCTCTGTGAGTGATGGAATAATTTCTAGTCTTTACAGGGATTTTTTTTAAAGCCACAAAAGTCAGAAAGGTTATTTCACACGTACTGAGGAAATTATGTGTATCATCATAGAGTCTAGCCAGGAAACAGAAACCACCTGAGTAGTTAAAGAGACTTTAATGGAGAAAACTGATTCCCTGGGTGATGAAAGTGCTGAGAAACCAAACAGAGGACAGTGGGCCAATGCAAAGATTCATAACAGCAAGAAGCCACCCTGACCCATGACTGAAGGGATAAAGAGTGAACGCAGTGTTACTGGCACTAGTGGAAGCTGGAACCATAGCTGGTTTGCCTGCCAAGAGCTGGATTCATAAAGCTGTTGGAAGGCAGGGGAAGAAAAGAGATACCCTGGCTTATTCCACCCCACCACCTCCCCCATAATCTATTTGAAGCCACTGAGCATGGGAAACACAGCCGCAGAGGTTGGTGTCCCTTGATGCAGAGAAGGGGGAAGGCAGGGAAAGGATGAGAGGGCAAACAGGTCCAGAATGTTCTTACCATGGAATTGCCTACTAAAGTAGAAAAGATGTGAGGGAGTCAGGGAGGGGCTGGTGTTGAAGAAAGGCAACATGGAATGAATCTGGCCATCTATGTTTTGGTAGAGGACATGAAATGGACCTGTTTGTTTTGTTTACTCTTTTGTAAGAGAACAATCAACATATTTTGGACTGAGATGAGCTATTCTGCTTCTTGATTTTGTATTACATACTAGATTTATCAATGCTACTATCAGCTTACTTTTTTAGTTAGACACCTGGGGGCAGGGACCATAATCTGCATCTGTTTTACCATAAACTTTTAGTATCACAGTATGATGTCATGATATTCTAGTGCTGTGTAGACACATAACGTAAAAACACACATTTTTAATTAACAGAGACATGATAGGATATAAAACGTGATGGCTACGGGAATCAGTGATGCAAATTCTGCAACATAAGTAGCAATCTAATGTTCTGTGAGAGCGTAAAATTCCAACCAATTCATCAAGACACTCTTAATACAATAACGACTTTTATGGCTTGATGGGAGACCTATTACAATGAGGTCAGATTCTGCTTCCCAAACTATTTTGGTTAAGAGGCCACATGTTAGCCACTGATGGATTTGCTGAAGCCAACAGAAAGAAGTTGAACAGGAGAGAGGAGAGCGTCTGACTAAAGTAGATGAGGAATAAGGCTAGAAAAGGGATCTTTAGGGCCTCTGGGAAACACCAGCTAGTTCCTGTTCACTGAAGTTCAGGAATGAACTGTGCAAAACCATTAAGGGTATATTATTACCCTTCATCTGCTCTTGACAAGAGAATTTTTGGTGATAAAAAAAGAAAAAAGACAGACTGATTAAGCTGCATCTGGGTTAACTTTCCTAAATAGCAAGTTGGCAGACAGCCTGGAAACAATGTAAATTCTGCTTCATTAAAATTGCAATCACGGTTGATTTTTTTTTTTCTACCTAGCTGGCTATTGGGAAATAAAATGTCAATGGTTGCATGGTTTATGTAAAAGATAACACATAGAAACCCTGCACAAAAATTCCTATAGATGGGACTGGAGGCAACCATGTAAACTGTGTAGAAGAATGGGTGGCTGAGAGGAACAGCGACAAGTGCTGGCCCCCTCCAGAGGCCCCATATACTCATGAAATGATGTTCAAAAAAGGTCAAGAAAAGAGGTTTGTTAATAAGCTTTTTTTTTTCTTTTGGAAAGGAAAATAAGAGCTGATTTGTATATTAAATAAACATAGTACAGCTTTCATTGACCAAAAATTGGCACATAAGAGTTTTTTTGTATAAACATTTTTTTCTCCCATGACGAAACTCAAAACTCAAGGGAGCACTTTGCAAGAAAAATGACAATGTAATATTTTCTCTATCAATTTTGAATAAAAGCCAAAGAAATAATGTCACAACGTGTGTCTACGGCATCAAATGTATATTGATTAACTCTTTCTAGAAAAAGCCTAAAGGCAAAAAAAAAAAAAAAAAAAAGTCAAAATTGACTGTGTTTTAAGTCAATGTATCCAGTAATATTCGGGGATCAAGTCAAGATAGGAAAATTGGGAAGATGAGTTCATGAGAGAAAGGTAAAATGCGTTTATTTTGTATATGCAAATAAAAATGTCTAATACATAGTTAGAAAGGTAGGATTGGCTCGTTCTTTTTCATGGTATTTCAGAGGGAAGCACCACTTCAGAGTGAACATGAATGTTTCCCTCTCAGTCACTAGCTGCTAGAAACGCACTGAAATGGACAATGAACACAAATATCATACCTTTTATGAGAAGCATATGGCCATAGAAGTTGCTGCTAATGCTGACTGAAGAGTGAAAAGCTTATGTCATCTGAATCAGTGATGGGAACTGCAAACAAAGTTTTCCCATGAAGCAGAATGTCTTGCCCCATGGCTGTGTTTGCTGCTACTAAGTAAGGAGTGTTCCTATCACATGCCAAGGAGAACTGGAGAAAGTACAAATCTGTTCGAGGTTGCATTGTGGATGTCAATTTGAGTGCTCTTAATTTGGTTACTGTAAAAAAAAAAAAAAAAAAAAGTCGGGGGAGAGAAGGATATTTTTGGACCAACTGATAATACTATGCCTCATCACCTAGGGCCCAAAAGTGCTAGCAGAATCTACTAAGTTTTCAAATATCTCTAAAAAGATGATACCTACTATATACTGTGAGAAAGTCCCTAAACAAAGAAGTTAAGGAACTCAGGACCAGACTGCCCAAGATTCAGCATCCTGTTATTCCATGAGTCCTGCACACAAAACATCCACATATTGCTCTGAAGCCACAGCTCGCTAAGAAAAATAAGTAAGAGACTGCAGAATATGCTAAACTTTTGACCAAGAGAACGAGAAACCAAAGAGAAATGCCAGGAACAGGTCCCCGAGAAGCAGAGGCTGTTCTCTCTGAGAGCTTCTACCCTGACCTTGAATCCAGTAAAA